GGCCTCTAGGGACTGCCTTCCTGACTTGTTTTGTGAAACCAGCTCAATATTCAAAAGAGGGAGAAGGAGGAGCACATGAGGTAGAGAAGGTGAAGGATTTCATGGTCAGGAGGGCGCACACATACATGTTTACCCCAAACAGTGCTCATGTCTGGTATTTATTACTTCCTGGATCCACAACAAGAGGAGTGCTACAAGACACTATTTTATTGATTTCTCAGTGTGTGTCATTATGGCACCGTCAAAGCAGTTAGCGCAGCCCCTGTTGATACCTCTGCTGTTTTTCCGCCCACATGCTGCACTTTTACATGCACATCTGTCGTATAATTGAACAATCATGGCTTCAAGCTCCATCACAGTGTTATGTTTTGCTGTTAGACATTTGAACAAGACACCAAATCCCCACTTGCTCCCACACAGTGTAAACAGGGTTCTGCAGATTTTGCAAACTACACAAAACCAAATTCCTTTTCTACACACAGATACATAGCAACCATATGTGACTTATAACGTTGAGCTCCAGCCTTAATGCTAAAATTTCTCAGAAAAAGAACAATAACAAAACATTATAGCCTACATGAAACAGGATTTATTGCAGGACTATTCAATTCAGTTTTATTTATATACTGTAGTGCCAAATCACAACAGTCGCCTCAGGACACTTTACAAAGTAAACAGGTGACGTCTGGCTGCTTTTTGAGGTTACACAGTTTGAGTGGTCAAATAAAATTTGAATAAAAATAAAGTTTTTTATGTATTGACTGCTAGTCTGACACATCCAGTGGAACATACTGTATTTTAAGACTTAAATAATAATATTCTGTAATATTGTAAATAGAAACGTGTTCCCTGGACATCAGGATGTTAAATATGCTATTTATTTATTCTTTTTTAAATAACCACAGTGCCTTTTCTCTTTCTTTCTTTCCTTTTATTTGTATGTATTCATTTGTTTGACCACCAGGGGGCAGTGGAAGCACAACATTGAAATATCATCACCTTTTAAGTTGATATGTTGAACTTTACCTTCAAACGTTATGGAGCAACATTATGACTCAGGTTTCAGCTACAAATAGCATCTCAGTGTTCTCTGTCTTTTAGCTGTGGTCCTGCTCTCCACCACTGAGGGGCATCTCTGCTCCACTATGTTCACCTGCTAGTCTCCAGCGGTGTGTGTCTGCTGTTTGCTGCTGACCATAGTGTACTGTGGGTTTTTAGAGCTTTGCTACTGAAAACAGCTGCAGCCAAAAGCTACGCTGTAAGAGCTGTGAGTGAACCAAAACAGCACAGAGCTGAATCTCACCATGAGGCCCCATACAGCTGAGGGGAGCTGCATTATAACGTTATTATGAGCTCAGCTCAAACTCAAACACACAAAGCAAACATCATCTTATTCTTTACATAAAATTACAGAGAATGCGATTCACATATTATTCATTTCATGACAGGACTCTGATCTTCTTTATCCTCTTTTCACACATTTTATTTTATTAGATCTCTGCTTATGTTAGTCCGACTAAAGGTGGCTATGAGTGCTTGACTCTCAGGTTACATTCACGTGTTGCATTACGTTAAAACAACACGAGGGCCTGCGTTGGTGGTGGTGTGTTGTTTTCTTGTACTGAAGAGTCACTACTGACTTTATGACTGGAAATCAAATGTACATCTATCTGGAGGTTAACAGCAGAAATACAGTGTTCACATTACAAAGTAATCCAAGACAGATGCATGTGATGTGATTCACCAGTGCAGAGCTCTGCACATCACCTTGCACTGCCAAAAACGTTGAACCAAATTCAGCTGTTTTGGGACCCCCCCCACCAAACCCCCTGTGCCCCCTTTCATAGCCATTGTCAGCCGGGGGCTACCCAGGCTTTCTACTCAGCCAGCCCTGTCAGTCAGTATCTTCTGCTATTCATGAAAGGGTCAGTGGCCAGATCCCATGGCGGGGAGGCCGGCTTGTATTGTCACCTGGGATCGTTGCCGGGGGTGGTTTTACGTGGTAACCCCATTGTCCTGGGATATAGTGTATTGAAATAGTTATAAGTCCTTTTTAATCTTTAAAGAGAGCGAGAAACTTAAAGAATCATTTAGTTCAGCCTGTTTTGTAGTTTAGGCCATCATTCGTCTTGGTAATAGTGGCATTGTTCTCTCCAAAGTAAGTGATGGGAGAAGAAGAAGAAATCAGACAGGAGCAAGAAATATGTGCATAAATAAAATGAAGAAAAAGGAGCCAGACCCAGTGTAATAGACCAGAATCAATCATGTGTGTATTGACATGCTTGCACCTTTAAGTCATGGCTGTTTCACACAGCACTGGTTACACTAAGATGTGGAACACATGTATTTAGCATTTAATCTGATTGGAAAGTGTGTGTGTGTGTGTGTGTGTGTGTGTGTGAGAGAGAGAGAGAGAGAGAGAGACTATAAATCAAAGAGGCTTAAACACAGACATAGAGGGTGACCCTGGTGGTGTGAAACACAACTTGACAGGACAGCTGGGAGTGTATTTAACAACAATGTCAGCCTTATCTGAGCAGTAGTCTCACACAAACAGCACTCACAGGCAGCTACACATGATATTAAATAGCTCAGAACAGGACTTTAGAGCTGTTTCAAGCAGAGTGGGAAAGTACGAGGACAGTACTTCTCATCAGCTAGAGTCCTGCCAGCCCACAGGAACACCTGCAGACACAGTGATAAGAACAAGGTGTTGCCAGTGTTTGGAGCTTATCTGGTAAAGGCTGCCCTCCAGTGGACAGATGTTTCTTACTCTACCAATTCTCACACCACAGTTTACAAAAAAGGGTCCATTTTAACTGCAGTCCAAAAAGAGTTTAGACCAACCCATTAAAATGAAGACAATTTAAATGTGACCACAAGTCAAAGGTTACAATTTCTCAAATAATATTATCAAATATAAACAACCATACAGTAGCAAAACGTGAGTGAATTAACATACTGTGCTGCACTGAACAGTCCCTGAGCCGCAGGCTGTGGCAGGTCACTGTTTTATTTTGTTGTGTTATATCAGTTTGCTGTACATGGTTTATCCACACTGACACAATATTTGACTTTACTGATAAACACAGAAACTCTCTCGTGCAAGACAATTGGTTTTACTTTGAAAACACTGCGCTGAAATTAAGGAAGGAGTTTGATAGATGTGGTGCATTGCATAGAAAGCTCTCACTTCTCTAAATCTGGGGTATTATTGGCCACTGAAGGTCATGCACTAAGCAAAAGCCTTGTTGGAGTTCTGCTGTAAGACCAAACACTTGTTGCTACATCCACTTACTGAGGAAGTCCAACTCTTAATGTCAGGGAGAGAATTTTAAGCAACTTTTATTGCTCATTTATTGAAAGTCTTCTAACATTTTCTCACATCTGCTGGTTTAATTGATTCTACATTAAAGAAAAGAACAGCTTGCATAGCATTGGTAAGATGTGTTCCAGGATGATTGGAGTTAAGCAAAGAAACTTGTGTTTTCTCTGGGAGAAGGCAAAGAACACTATCAGCCAACCTCATCATGTTCTGTCCTGTAAATTTACATCTGTGCCTTCTGGCCACTGCTATCAAGTACCCGTGATGAGAACAAATCAATACCCCAAATCTTTTATTCCTTCTGCTGTCAGGCTACTAAACTTAGCAAGTTTTAGTTTTATATAATGTTTATTTATTTAATCATTGCTTCCACCAAACCTTTTACTGACCTGCTTGTCTGTTTGTTTGTTTCTGGGCATTTGTCATGTAGCAACATGTTGTCCTCTAGTGCCACCATGAGGTTGACCTCTTATATTTCTGGTTGGTGCAGGAGGTGTTCAACACTGCGAGATTTTTCCAACCCTGCACTTCACTGTACAAATAAATGTCAAGAAGAAACCCAAAGTTCACTTCCTATTTTGAATAGTGTCTGTTCTGCTGCTTAGTGACACAAAGAGGAACCTAACATTTCCTGCACAAGAACACCAAGAGAAATGACCCATACTCTTCTTACGTCAATGGGACTTTCTTCTTTTGGTTTCATTTGGGCAAATGGCAGGATTTTGTTCTGCAAAACATGCTTCTGAAGATATGGCCATTATTAGCCGAACTCAGTACTGTGGGCATTAATTGTTTGTTTCTCAAGAGGTCAGAGAACTAGATCTGAATTTTCTTATCTACCAACATATCAGACAGTGTCATCAAAAGAAGCACTAACGTATCAGCACTTGTGGCTTCTGCTTTGTGCTTCTGAGAGACGTCTCATTGAAACAGGAAACTGTGTGGTGAGGGTTTCTGTAACAGGTCGAGCATTTCAAGCCGCATTCTAGTCAGCATATCAAACAGCACCCTCACTTTGTTTTGCCCTCTCGCCTCTCTGAAAGCCTAGGCTCAGGTTGTGGACCAACAGGAACACAGCTGTTGGCCCCCTGATCAAAGCAGGCTATGGCCTGGGGGCCGTCAGTCCCAGTGTTCAGCACCGCCATTCTGTTTGGGATTATCACACCTGTGGTTCAGGGATTAATCCCAACAGAGACATGGGAATCAGGGACAAAGGGGCTCTAGTGCAGAAAGGGAGGAAGCGCACACAGACCAAGTGCATTGCTGGACTTGCCCCCATGAGTTCTAGGTACCTTTAACATGTGACCCAACAGGTTGGAAGGAATTGGAGTTTAGATCTGTAAACCTGGCACAGAGCTGTTCCTATTGGTTTGGTAACTGCCAAGAACACAAGAACAATAAGGACTTACAGACTTGAGCAGATGTGAATACCTTATAATGAAACACCATTACATTTCATTGAGAAGCTAACTCTAGCAGTCTTACACTTAATATTCCAATGATGTTATAAATCTGGTTATAATTAATAATTATTCATTAATTTAGTTATAATGTAGCTATAATTAAAGATTTTCTATTTATCTTAATTCATTATTAATGAAAACTCCCAAATTTATGGTCAATAATTTATGAGACCGATCAGAATACTACGTTTAATTCTCTGCACTGCACCGTGCGTTTTATTGTCGTCCTGCGTGGGGCTTACTTATTGTCCCTGCACTTGTTTTTGAAGCAGCAACATCACTAATGCTCTTGTGACTGAAGGAGAACAAGTCCTTCTAGCCGGAATAAATGTGGTGAAAAGCCTGAAACCAGAACAGTAGCTGCTTTTACAGAAGCATGGTATAATGATACCGTCACATTTTGAAGTCGTGTGTGGACATCCACATACATATACTGTATGGTGCCAGCAGTTCACTGCCATGTTGGAACGGACTCAGCGGCCAGTGTGAGCCTTACATCAGAAACCAGTGATGCTCAGAGGCCCTCACAGAGTCCACTGACACCATGGCGCTGGTCAAGAAAGCACAGCAATAGTTGTTTTTCCTGAGATGCTGAAGAAAGCTGGTTTGTCCCAACAGCTGCCGGTGAACTTCTACAGCTGCATCTAAGTCTCTCTTCATTCTTTCTGCCTTGTTCTTCCCATAACAATGAGCATTTTACAAACAATATGATAGACAGCAAATGAAGAATATGCAGGCAAACTGCAAAGCATATTCAGTTTTATCAGCATGTATATTTTGTCAGATAATATCAGAAAGTATTTATCATAGGAGCTGAACAGGAAGCAACAGCTTTTACAAATGATCATCGCAGCTGAATGTGGAAGTGAATCTGTACATAGTGCACAGTGTGTACAGTACTACATTCATATTTAACTGAACAAGTGGGGTGTGGACATCAGACACATTTTAAAGAACCACAAATCAATATTTGATATGAAAATTAGGTCAAATTGACAAATGTATTGTAAAACCTGCAGAGACAAACACCCTATGTTTCCATAAAATCCTGAGATAAACAACATAAAAACTGCAGACAGACAAAGTTAACTATCTAGCTGGTGAACACAGTGATGCATTTAACAGCTACAGAGTTATTCACTTCTATCAGGAGGTGGTGAACACACAAGGGGACTACAAGGAGAACGAATATTATATTTAAACCCATCAGAAGATGGGTTCACAACATGATTCTGAAGAAATGCTAGTTTTTCTGCTGGACATGTGATGAGGCATTGTTTGATAGTATGCTAGTCACATTAACCTGAGGCCAACATTTGCTAGATGCATGGTTTCAAGTAGTTGTGTATTTCTATCTTTACATTCCCCCAAACTGATGAATGTAGCATGGATGTAAAATGTCCGAGGCCGTTCCATACACAGTAGTGCCATGTCCCCTAGCAGCTACACAGCTGAGAAAAGAGGAGAAATTCATATGCAGTCTTTGGATTTTAAATTCTAAAAATCTTCTTATGCTCAGTGACAAGTTTCACTATTTGAATTTTGTATAAATATTGTCAAATACAAATATTGCCAATGAAGAAAAACAACTTACATTTAATATGCTATGCATCATCGAGCCAGAAGGACAACAACAGCCACAGTCAGAGCTACAGCCCGGCCAGGGACGCTCCTCTGTGCCTCGCCTGTAGGCAGACAGGGAGAAGGAAGCAATGTGTGATGCACCTTTACCCTTTACCCAAAAATCAAAACTAGCCACTGCTTTAATTAAGAGTACATTCCTCCCACTTCAGCTTGTTGTTTGTGATTCAGACTGAATCCTTTACCAATACTGATCCTGTAAAGGGTCGTGGAGGTGAGATGGGGAAAGGGGGACCCCAGTTGACACTGGGTGAGAGGTACAACCTAGATGGTTCACCAGACTATCACAGGGCTGACACACTCACATGCTCACCAACGGGCAGTTTAGACTCACCAGTTAACCATAGCAACAGTACTAAGTGCTGCTGCCCCAACCTGAATTATGTGGGAAATAAATGTTAGTTAAAAAACAGGAACTGGTTTTAGCAGCCAGACTTTTGCTAGTGAGCAGCAGTCTCAATTCTCTTTATAGAAGATGTTACTTTACAGCTGCCGCAAAATTATATTGATATGTACGTGTCAACTAAACAAGCCATTATGGATCAGTCATTGTTTACTGGCTAAGGTTTGATTATCGTTCACTCTAAATTCAAATGTTTAAAGTGTGTTGACATTATCAAGCTTTTTCACACAAACTGTCTGCTGATACCTGAGCATTAAAGGAAACCTCCATTATTATTATTATTTGTTCATTTTCACAGTTTTAGTCATTATTAGGCTAGCGTTTGTGAATAGATATGGGGATGCAGCAAATCATCAGTCAAACACAACGAGGACAAGTCGCAGTTTGACCCTAAACCAAAAGTAAAAACAACCCCAAATTCATTTCTTTTGTAAATGATAAGACAGCAATGGTACTGTAAATTCAATTATTTAAATTTTACTAACGTTTTATATATGAACTGGATTTCAGTAGGTTGGCAGCGCAGTTAGCTCATAAATAGGTTGTCTTTATGTAGAAATCCGATGAGTCTGATCAGTTTACGTTCAGCACAGAGACAAGCATTACTTTGGCTTTAGGTTTCACATATCAGAACTTCCAGATATATTCTTGGTCATTTTTCTGTATGGGACAGTAGCATTTTAGTTCAAACTGCCAGCTCACTGAGCCTTTCTAAGGATTCACAAATGCTCTAGGCTACCTACCAAAGTACAGTGTAGCTGCATTTCCACTACTGGAACCTAAGGAGGGCCACACTCAGGGTGTCGCTCACCCAGCACGACTCCACGGGCTGACAAGGGGCATCCTACCTTGTTTTTCCACTGTACCTTTTACTGCTGTCTGTTTAGAGGAAACAGGGGTTGTGCTCTGCTCACACCCCCCCGCCCGTGACAAGCTATGCTCAACACATTTCGCCCATCACAAGGCTGATGGACAGAAACCACCACACACACTCTACATGTAACCACTGTACATAAAAGAGCTCATTTTAACTAGTGTATGTGTACATGTGTAGAAATGGATGGTTGATTGTCTTCTTGTTTTTTTTACTTGTTATTCTATTTTTCTTTTATTTGGTGCACATCCGGGGCCACTGGGCTGGAGTCGAATTCCTAGTAATTTAACATACTTGGCAATAAAGTTTATGATTGATTGATAGTTTATCTTTGTTATCGTTGGCATAAAGCATTAAATAAAAGAAAACCAGGCTTAAATAATAGAACAAAACCAGGCTAACATGTTGATACACATTGTACTGCGTGAAGGTCCATTTTGGGTGTGTTTAAACAAATGAAATGATTTAGACTGCAGGACCATACACAGGACTCTGGATGACTGTAAAGCTTCTATTAACTTACCTTTGTTTAAAGTGCGGGTGGCATTCAAAGTCACATTTAGAGTAGGGTTGTGGATGAAGCAGGTCACGGATTGATACAGGCCCCGCTGAACACCTATAGTGCTGCTGAAACTGTAGAGGTGATCTTGAGGGTCTTGCACTGCTCTAGTGGTCACCCCGCTGGAGGCTACAAGGCACTGGGAGTTGTTAGACAAGAAATGGAGGCTCCACTTTACCAAAGGCTCAGGAAATCCTCTTTGTGCAGAACAGACTGCAGTCCTTGTTTCTTCATTTACAGCCAGGCTGACATTAATGTAAGGAACTGTGTGAGAGTGTATGACAAAAGGAACTGGAGTAAACATCTAGCGCTCATTACTTAACATTTTTTATCTCTGAAGCCACAGCCAGATGATGGCTACCTTAGATTAGCATAAAAATAGTGGGCATATTCCAGGACATAAACCCCAGTGAGACAAGAACTTGGTGCATCAACACTTGGATTTTTACTTGTACAAGTTAAACAGATACATTTATTACTTCTGGATATTTTATTTATCAATTTCCGTACAGAAAATTAAAATCTCCATCCTTACCTGCAACATGTAAAGTAATGGTGCAGATTTTCCTGAATTGGAATATTCCTCTGGGATCAGAAATTTCTGCAAAAGCCTCAAAGACTCTTTTGTTATCTTCAAGTGTTATGCTTTTAACTCTGATGGAAATATTTCCTCTGATCATTTCCTGTGGGAAGGTTGTGATCCTGTCTCGATAAAGTTCATTTATATGCTCTGGCATTTCCTTCCCCTCATTAAAAGAGTATAAAACATATTTTCTTTCATCTTGCCAGTAAAAGCGTAGATTCTGCAAGCTAGCGGGACTGGTGTTCATGCTACATAGGAGCTCCACCGATTCATGAGCAGTAGTGTTGATATTATGCTCTACTGTTGCATCAGAGCCTGAAAGTCAAAGAGAAAGAGTTCTCAGAAATGTCCTGCTGCACTGTTCCACACTCAGCACTGAGCATCAGTCTTTTAGGATTAGTTTTACTTCAAAATCTAAACATTTTAGGAACATAGATAAAAATAGAACACAATATATTTCTGTTATGCACACACTCACAGTGAGATCTACCCACTAAAATGTGATGTAAAAATACTCAAAACTTACCCAACAGCAAATAGGAACCAAATGCCAGTAGTGCAACAAACATTCCTGAGAGTATGAGCACACTTGCCGTGCAGACTAGCGAGGGAAACAAGCATAGGCTCCTAATTTTGAAAGTTGGATGTCAGATTGTTCCTTCCCCTTCTAGCATACAGGAGACAGGCGAGCAGCATATTATTATTTAAGATCTCTACCAATAAGGTGTAGTTTGTTTACTCATCCACTGTCCCTGAATCACTGCAAATGTGGCTTTTCACAGTCACAGTGATGCCTGTATGCATGTTTCCTTTTGAAACAGGATGTAGGGTGTGGACTGTAACCTCTGAGAAAAAGTTCTGTAAAACATTTAGCTATAAAGACAGTTTGACTTAACACAAGTCAGAAAAGCACAAATGCTTGAAAAGTTGTGTTGAATTTAAGTAGGATGAAATCTGCATACAACTGGATATCAGGTTACAGCTTCTCTGATTGCTTGTTAATACTGCTCATGTTGTTATATTACACAGCCTTACGTTGGTTTACTGATTACTTGCCCCTTGCATGAGGATACGTACATGCACATTGAGAGCCGATGTACCAGTCAAATTCCTCGTGTGTCTGACACACCTGGCCAATAAAGCTGATTCTGAAGCTCACATGCAATGTGGCTTTTCTCTCACGCCCTCACGTTGTCACACACCTCCAGTATATGATAAACCCATGGTTCCTCACTATAAATGTCTCTGGAAAACTTCTCTCTTCTGCTTCCTCATGTCTTCCAACACACATTTGAAGGACTGGAACACCCTCAGTGATGGTAGACCTCAACCAGTTTCCAGGTCATGGGGCAGAAGATGTAGGAGGGAGGATGTGTGGAAGCGGATTAGCGGAGTGACAGTATTAATGGGGCTTCAGCACCACCTAGTGGTGACGTATCTCATGACCCGGGGAAGTTGCCTAAGCAGCTGCAGTAACAGTACAGTCTGTTGTAGTGTCCAAGGGAATAGTAAAGTCTTTTTCTAAACAGTAAATTAATTGTTTTCTATTAAATAATAATTAAACATGTATCTCTGAATGATGTGCTTTTCATAATGCTCTTACTATTCTCAAGGTTCAGGGATTTCATTGTCAATTCACCATATGTGCAGCACATACACAACATCGAAATACCGCTTCTCTCTCACCTCGTACTGGGTGCCATAACATTTAGGAACTAAAATAGAATAAAGTAGAATAAAAATAGAATAGAATAAGAACTGGATTGATGTAATTAGGATAAGTCTAAATGGTACAGCCAATAAGCTGTGACTCCAAACCGTGTACAGTCAGTGACAGTAGTGAAAACAATAATAGGAGATTGTCAGATGGTTCATCATCACCAGGGCGTTGGTGATGAGGTACACATGGCCCTAACACCTCACCCTACTATCTTAACTGTTCAGCTGGATACACATTCACAAACAGTGGTGATGGTGAAAACAGAAGTTAATGTTCATGGCATTGTTTATTTTTAAGTCAAACATAAAAATCCCTCTACACAGGCAAAGTGAACAGACACCTGCCTCAGCAATGCACACATTCAACTCAGATTCATCATTCAAAACTAAAGAAAAGGAAGTAACAGTGCTCATTTTAAAGTTCAGGTAGACAACTGACTTCCAGTCTCCTTCTTGGCCTTCTTATTGCTGTTCACTTTCTGTGCCATCGTCCTCTTCAGCCGCTGCTCGTCCAGTCTCTGCTGCTTCTTCTGTAGGTAGGTTGTCACGTTGTCAAAGCTCACCTTGTACAGGTGCTCAAAGCTAGTGCCGGTCCTTGTGGAGGCTTGTTATGTAAGAGGACAGCAAGAGGAAGGTTGATGACAACAGCACGCTGTTAAATTTAAGCACCAGTGCGAACAAAATGGGAGAGGTGGGGATAAAAACATGTTTCTCCTAAGGGGTACCCCATGTATTTCTGTAGGATAAAGTATATCATTTGAGGCTTTTTAGTCCAAAACTTTTGGGCTGTTCACATGTTTATGTCTGTAATGAAAGTAGCGTGCTTCCTGTTTACAGGCCCTGACAGTGATTTCCTGTTATAGGACAGTGGGTTAGAGGAAATAAAGACTAGTGTAGTTAGTGAGTCTGTACCATTTTAAAATGTTTTTATTCATTTATTAGGCTGTATGTTTATAGAAAAATTCTAACCTGTACAGATATGGAGAGCACCTCTTCACACCTCACTTTGACAGATGCTCTCTGAGAGCCACGCACCGCAAAGTCCCTCAGTCAGAATACAGGGATCCACAGTGTCACACACTGCACTCCTCGGTTCATTCAGAGATCAGATAGTAACCTCTGCTGTACTTAGCCTGTATCAGCAGCTAGAGAGCATGAGTGGGGCAAGGATGGCAGAGGGAGGACACTGAAGACGCACTGACAAGAGGCCAAAAGGCTGCATGCGGTGTAGAGGTGTGTGTGTGAGAGAGAGAGATTAATGACTCACCTTCCAGTGTCTCCCAGTGTGGCTTGAAGGCTTCAACCACCGTGTTGAGTTTGGGGCAATCAGCATCATACTAAATGGAGCAGGGGAGCATACAGGTCAGGCACAGACAATACACAAAGGATAAACTTCTAATGCAGTGCCAGCAAATGGCCAATCAATACCACTTTGTCTCTCAGCCACTAAAGTACGGAGGCAGCTCCTGCTGCTGGAGAATGCAGTGCATGTCTGCTTGTGGTTCCTAGAGTCCACAGAAGCAGAACGGGAGGCAGAGCCTTTAGCTATCAAGCTCCTCTCCTATGGAAGCAGCTCCCAGTCTCAGTTCGGGAGGCGGACACCCTCTCTACCTTTAAGATTAGACTTAAGACTTTCTCAAGGGGGATTTGTTGGGATTTTGCTGTAATCATGTAAGGTAACCTAACTTATTAACCTTAGTCTGTAAAGTGCCCTGGGATGATTGTTGCTGTGATTTGGTGCTGTACAAACGTGAATTGAACTTGCAACCAGCAAGTACCAATCAGAAGCATCAGTGTCTCATACGTGGCTCAGTGTCACCACCAACAGAGATTAGCCATGGCCTTACTGGGATGTGCACAGAGCTGATGGTTTGAACATGTGCAACAGGGAGTGATTTTCTTTACATATTTAACACTTCAAGTTGTCCAGTTTTTCACTCTTCCTAAACAGAAATCAAATAATAATATGCAGTGTGTGACAAACTGAGACTGAGTGCCGTCTTGGTTGTTGTACAACTGTATCTGGATGGACAACATAACACAGAAAACAAATTTGTATGGAGCATAAAACACAGGCCCAGCTGCTACCCTACCATTACACTTTGAACAGTAGCCACAACAACCTGTTACTGCTGCGTGTGTGCATGCTCGTTACATACATTTTGCTCCTGATACCTGAAACTAAAAGCTAAAATCAATATCTGCATGACTGTGAACCTATCACAATGTACCTCCCAAGAGTCTTGTCTGTGTGTGTAGATTTGGAGCGGTGCATCGCTGGAGTCCATCAGCACCCAGAGTCGGCCTTCTTGGTCAAAGGTCACGTCCAGGGGGCAGTGGGGCAGGGAGAGCCTGCTGTGTGGCTTGAGCTTCTCTTCACCCTCCCGCTCCAGAGTGAAAAACTGAACTGCTGACAATCTGAGAATACACAAGCAACGTTAAAGAGATCAGCCGATCCATCAATGCTTTAGAGGACCACTCTGAAAGCAGAAGACAAAGCGAGGATTTCACTGACTGGCCAGTTTGTGCTCCTCTTCGCCTCTCACTTTAAGAGTCAGCTGCATGTACATGTAAGGGACAATAGCTGAACATTAGCCACTTGGATAACCCTGGAATAGTTCCAGTTGATTAATCTGTGCTGAAATGAAGTGATAAACCAGAATTTCTGCCTTGGGGTTGTATGCCTCCACCAACCAGTCAAATTCATGGGTATGGGACAGTAGTGGGGTCACTGGTTTTCACCTCTGAACACCAAAATGTAAAACCCCAAATCAGAAGCAGTTGGAATGGCATGTAAAATCAAAACTGAAAACAGTGATGTGTAAATCATCTATGTCCCCTCACTATTTTCAGCTTTCATTTTGACACTTGTGCTAAATTTGAAACGGGGCTGTCGGGGCTCATGAATCTAAGAAAAAGGGTTTGGAACTCGGGCTGACACAGCAAGAAGCAGACTGAGGGGGACCCGACTCATATCTCTGGTGTTTTCTCAATGCAGTACTGATATTCAGAGGTGAAAGGTAAGTATACGCAGCAGCGGGATTTCACTCCACTTCACATTCCAATATTCTATTTTTTACTGCACTAGATTTATCTGACACCTGAGTCTCCTTATTCCAAGCTTCATGGAAGATAATGATTGGACTTTTTTTACCTATAAACCTACAATACACTGATGTAGGTTCAACTACTCAAGAACATTTTAAGCAATGGTGACCTGAAACAAAGACTGACCAAGGAATTCTCAATATAAGCAACGGCGACACATTTAACACTGAACTACCAATTTATTAGGGACACTGAGCTATATAACCAACAGCCTAATCCAACAGTCCCGCTATAAACCCACCTCCGTGCAGGCCATAATGTCCATACTGCTTTAGAGAGGTGCTGATTCAACTGTATGAGCATTATGGAAGATTTGGGCCACTGTTAAACCAGACTGCATTATACAGAGAGATGATGCAGTAACGAGACTCGAGGTGGACAAAATAAAAAAAGCCCCAAATGCTTTGTGAATATCCTCGAGTGTCTCCATTCCAGACTTTGTCCACCAGAGAACAGTGACCAGTTTGGTTACGCTGTAAAACAGCTTGCTCAGTGTCTTAAAACTAATTGAAGCGATCTTTATTAAAAATAATTGTTTATCTTGTGTTTCTGACAGTAAATGAATGCTAGCTAATATACGCTTGCTATGGAGGAATGTCTTTATGAGGAATGTTTGGTTTGTATGTGCATGAGGAGTTATATGGACACAGCCAGCTTCACACTGTTCCACTTATCCTATTTGACTTTCCGTTTTTGCTCTCCTTTACAGAGCACATCCTGTAGGGCAACGCACATAGATGCGTTACAACAGCTGAGGTTCCCCCCAAAACAATACAGTGACACTAACCTTTCACACTGCACAGCTATGAGGTGAGAGTCAGGGGAGCTGGCGATACGGCACACAGTTGGCTTCTGGGAAATAAGACAAAGACAGACAGTGGTGGAAGCTGTCAGGTTTTGTGATGTTCATTTTACAAAACAGCTACATTTTGCCTGTCAACTGGCAATTAACTGATAAAAATACAAATTTAGATTGACAACTGAAAAATCTGATTCCAACTGAGGAAACCAGCAGGCTCTCTTCGCCTATTTCCACTGTTGTAAAAGTCCCTGTCAGCCCTAACCCTTGAAAGAGAACAAAACATTCTAAGCTGCTCTAACCAATAATTAGCCAACAGACTACTGTGCTCTGAACTAGATGTAGCTGCCTGCTAAAAAAAAGTCTTATTCCCGTGGGCGTCCATGTGCCGATCATCCCCTGTACGCGATTGGTCAACACAGCACCTTTGCTGGATGATGTCACCATCAAGTGCTGTGTGGTGAGGGTGAAAAGAGCACAGAAGGTCTCACACATCTTCAGTTAGCAGTTCGTGCAGAGCTCCACGGTCTGAAGAGACTCGTGTGAAATCCCACAGGAGAGAAGACGGTCGGCGGAGTCTGTGGCAGAACCTTTTCCAGTGCCTGCATATTGTTGTCTTTTACTGCAGATGGTAATTCACACTAAGAAAGTAGAACTGAAGCGACTTTCATCACAAGATGATTAGTTAAAACACTTCAAAATGCACGTGCACTCTTCTGACTTTCAGTCGAATAAATCACTATTTTTCCAGTCATATATTTGGTCACTAAAGATTTCTTAAAAACAGTGTTAAAATATCATCTTGTGAACCTAATATCGTGTACGTCTTGACTCGTGCACTGTGTGCATCATCACATGCCCAATAACAAGCGCTCACACCCATAGACATACCTTCTCTTTGTCAGCCTCGGAGCTAGGCATCTCTTCAAGCTCTCTTAGGTCCCAGCTCTGCAGCCTGCGGCCGGACTCGTACTCCCACAGTTTCACAGTCCCGTCCTGACAAGTGCAACCACACTTCACATTATTCTGACACTCATCTGAACACTGGTTTTTAATTGCTCATGATAAAAACTCAAGTCAGCTGAGATGTTATGCAGTCAGCATCTCAATCTAAAATGAATCTTTGCTTTATTCAAGTACAACATTTTGTCCCAGTAAAATTCTAACTTCACATCTTAACCAAAATGTCAGTTGATTACAGGCTAAAATAGAGAACCTAGATTACTGGTAAGTGGTGTGTGCGCACAAGAGCATGTATTAACAGAACTTTAGGAAACACACATACCCCTGACCCAGACAGCAGACAGTGTGGATGGCCTGATGGGACCAGCAAGGCACTGACGAACCTGAGAGAAAGCACGACACAAACAACAGCAGTGATATTACAAAACCTTACTCCTTGGTAAATGGACTTGTACTTTCAGAGTGCTTTTCTACTGTGGCACTGAGAGCGCTTCGCACTGCTCGCCTAGTCACTCATTCACTCACTCGCACATTCACCATTCATGCATACTGGTGGTGGGCAGACCAGCCATACAAGGCCACCGGGAGCAATTTGGGGTTCAGTGATTTGCCAGAGGACGTTTTGACACATCAGTTACTCACTGTTGATGTCCCAGACAGAAGGACTGGATGTTGTACGGACACCTAAGGTGGCTCACTCTGATCTTCTCATCACGGTCAGCTGTGATGATGTACTTGTCATCCAGCGACATGGTCTGAAAGACAGCAGAATGGGGACAGCATTCGGTCACCCAGCTAAGGCAGATTTGACATGCAACAAATATCCCCCGCCAGAACAGAACTAGGGACACTGTGGTCCATGTTTGGCATCTTGACTCTCAGGCTACTGGGGCGCCGGACTTTTTATCTTTTAGGGCTTTTCAACAGTCAGAGGTGTAGTCAGGCCAAGCCATGCCATGAATGGCCGCAAACGTTAAGGCAGGATGTTGTTTTTCACTGCGCCTCACAGTAAGACGATAATAATAATAATAAAGTACAAAGTTACTTTACTAGGCTGAACAGGATTTTGTACTCCTTTTGGTTGCTGATATGCAGCAAAGGTAGGGAAACCTGCTTAACAGGAGTTTATTCTTTTCACAGATTTTTAGTGCTGGCAGAGACACTAAAGCACCTTTTGTATTTACATTCTGCCTCTACAAGCCATGTGAAATATGTATTTATTTGTCTGTGTGGTTTAGGACACAGCTGGTACATGTGGTTACTCGCCAGACAAACCAGGGATGCACCGATACCAGTGTCGGTTATCGAGTCCGATACCTGTACCGATACCACTTAACGGCAGCATTACATTAACCTCACGCTGGCTGGTTAGGTGGTGGAAAAGAAATGTCAGTGGTTGGTGGACATTTTAAGATAAATGGCAACGACAAAAGTAAATCCGAGTGCGAGCTCTGATTCTCTACTCAGCCGCGTCTCGGTGAGTGCCCCTCCCTCCCCGTCTCACAGACACAAGGTTACATTTTACAGAGACCTCATCACCCGCTATGCGCCACAGAACTAATGGTAATGGACACAGTAATTAATCAGACATTTGTTGAACAAGCTGAACACAACAGCACACTTGGAGAAAAACCCCTGTATTACAGTGTGTTATGTAGTAGGCTCCAGGCCTTCAGTCACATGTTGTATTCAGTGGGAATGGTGGCGGTGCTGTGGTTATCACAAGTTTCAAATCACACATTTGGGTTTTAACAAGCTCCTGTACTTGGCAGTGGATTAATTTAGTGGCAATTTGGAGGGTCTATTTCAACCCCGGTATTCCAGGACTGTACCTTTTATGCAAAAGCGTACCATTCTGTCCGTGTACACCAACAGATTGCAAACACTGCATGCGCAGTCTGGGGCTTTGCTGTGCAGACCGACCATGTGGACACAAACCTTTGGCCTACGTACAAACCCTTGCAGGCCTGGGAAGGTGACAAAATTTGCATCACTCGACCTCAGTGGACCTACGGACGTGCAAAGCTTGAAAAGCATCTTACTATCGCTAGCAACAGGGACAGGTGGCCCATCTTCTGCTCGCCCTCCCTCTGTGGCTCCACCACTGAGAAGGAATACACATCTCCTGATTTGTCAGCCACCAGCAGCTGGTCCTCGGCCTGAGTGAACACTAGGGATGTGCACCTCCTCACTACCCACCTGTAACACACACAGAGCGATTTTTAGCACACGTGCCAATTCACACTATGCATCATTATGTGTACAATACATGAAGCTGCTGTGAACCTGAGGACTGAATTTTAACTTGTACCTGATGCTGATGCACTGCCATGAAGGCTCACAGTGAAACAGAACCAGTCTCTTGGTGTCATCAGTCAGTGCCGCCAGCTTTCCAGAGGGAGACACGGTAAAGCCAAGGATTTTGTCAGTTCCTGCTTCCTGTGAGGCACCGCCATCACTGTTGACAGAGGAGAAAGATTACAGCTGTAAAATCAGAATTCATATTAATATTCTTTCCAGTAATCTTTCTTTGTTCTTAGATCTGTTGTTATTAAACAGAATGAACTGTAATTATCCGTTTTTTCTTTTCTTTTCTATATGCACTGTCCCAAAATATAAAGGCTTACTACTTACTCGGCAAACAGGAATCATTTTTACCTGTTATCGTCCTTTGTATCCTTTGGCTTCTTCTCAGCAGTGCTGCAGTCAAACACAAATGGTTCTCTGCAATAAAGTACAAAAGGGCTGATGCTTTCAATTTGAATGTCACTGCATGGTACATTTCAAGTACTTGTTATTTATATGAGCTCTGTTGAGTATAACTTTCAAACGTATTTGATAAAAGGAAGGCTCTTATTCCCATTGAGGTCGCTGTCGATGTGTACTTTAGCTCCTGCTGTATGACTTGAAACTGACAATCACCTATGTTTACTGTTATTACTAGGACTGTGTAGCTTTTTCATACCAATTCATTCAACAATCCTGCCTACATTAAGAAAACTGAGGAACCACTATTTTTAAAATGCAAAAATTACAGAGGAGCTTACTTTTCAGGTGTTGTGGCCTAATCATGGCAATACCCTAAAGCTTTTCACAATACACTTCTTCAGAGCCTTCAGACGCAAAGCTGAGACTATTAGTCAATTAACTTACATAATAAATGAACTAAGACCACATCTTCAACAATTTTAATATTTTGAAGACATTTATAAAGTAAAAACATCAAAAACTGTCATGATCCATCTTGACACCCATGAGGATTTGCTGCTACACAATTTTCTCTCATATTAAACTGATTATCTGTAAACTGGGACATTGTCTTGCGCTCAGGTGAGACTATGATGGACACTGTTGATGTTTTATAGACATAACAACCAAGCAAAGGATTAAAACAAACACAGGAGAAGCTGAAAACAGTCAGAAAATGCTCGCTGTCTTGTAAATTCACATACACATTTCTCCATGCTTTAATTAGATTAGATTAAGCTTTATTGTCATTACTCGCGTACAAGTACAAGGCAACGAAATACAGTTTAGCATCTAACCAGAAGGGCAATAACAGCAGCGCAGAGTGTGCAGTATGTAGTCAGTACTGATTTACAGATAGATGTGTACAATTGATATTTACAGTGAGATATGTAGGGTGATATACAACAGACTTTGTGGATTTAAATGATAAGTAATGGATAATGTACATTAAGCTTATGAAACACTAGTGCAATGGGATGAAATGGAATGAAATAGTGCAGAATAAGATGAGAAGTTACATGCGTTAACAGTTCAATGGATGGACAGTACAGTGTGCAAATGAATAACAGAGTGCAAACCTATGCAGAAAGTGACAGCTAAGTGACACTGCTAGCCAGAAACGGCAACATACAAATTATTAAGGAGTCAAACCTGGTCTCTTTGGTGTGAATTGCTACGAGCTTCTTGTCGCAGATAAAAAGAAACCACGCTCCACAAAATCCGAGAGCAACCATGATTGTTACGTGTATGACGTAAGCCAGAGTGGCCCATGTGTTTTGTCGCGCAGAATGTTCGTCATCGCCCACACAGCTGTTCTTCTCATATGGTGATGAAAGGGTTTCCTACATAAAAAAAAACTTTCGTTTAAACAACGATATAAGAAGAACTGTTTGATTCAAAATAAATCACGTCACTAACGCACATCATCAATCTAAGCTTGGCCATAAGAGCAGACAATTTCGTGTAGCGTTCAGACATTCACAGTGCTTGTGTAGCCGGGTCACCATTTTAGAACATATAATAACACAAAGTTGTTTATTAGGTTTAATCACTGTTTATCCATACCTGACATCCAGAGAGCCCAAGTGTTCCCTATATGTTGTGTATAGGGGTTATGCGGAACGTCACGTGACCAAACCGGAAAACGGGTCAGCGCACTTCCGCCTTTCCGCAGAACGTGGGTGTCATAACAGTAGTAACGCGAAGCACGTTCTTTGAGCTCGTTTTATTTGATTAGTTCGTAGATAAATAAATAAATAAATAGTCTTTTTCAAGACACAAATACCAGAAGCGGGATCATCCAAACAGTGATTTTCGTACCTCAATGCGCGATGTCAGGGAAGTTCAATTCAGCCATAAGCTTTCACCATTTCCCTAAGGATGAAACCTTAAGAAAAATATGGAT